CAAGCGCACGCTGATTTGATTTCAAGATGGTAACTGACGTAAACAATAAGCTTAGTTTCAAACATATTACTGCCGCATGCACGAAGGGCAAGACTTTGACTGACGCCGTTAACGTGCTTGCATTTATGTGTTACCGGAAGGTGCAAATGACCCCTACCTGCGCATGTTTGCAGGTATACCCGACCTGATTGATAGGTAGTGTGCTACTCTGATTATATGTTAAAGCGGCCACAACAACATAAACTATCCCAACCATCTTAATTTTCCTATTTGAGATCGATGGAAAGACGTTTTGTGACTATATCGGGCGGTTTTATTGCCAGCTAAATTACAGCGTTCGTATCCTGTTATCCAATACAGAGAATACCAAAGGAGACTAAACTACATGCCTCGCAGTCTGTGGACAGGACCGGAGAAGCAGACGACACCAATTGTTTAATGACAGGGGGTTGACAGTTGGAAATGAGCAATGAACGTCTGTATTAATGGGAGTGTATGCAGATATAGCATTCAATTATCGACAGTTACAAGAGTCAGGTAAATCGATATGAAGGTCTGGGAAGGTTTCAATCCACGCCAACAAATCGATCGACAAGAAAGAGACCGGGTAGACGGAAATGTCAAGGGTTAGAAGATCTGAGAATATTTTGACAGAAAGCGAGGTAGGGGAGAGATACTCCCCTAGTCACATGACCCTTCCGTAAAAAGTAACAGGAGGGTTATGTAGCCAATGGTTAGGACAGATAAATTATGGATTATGTAAGTCAATGCATGAGACAGTTCAGTTATATGATGATGTAAGCCAGTGGTTGTGACAGATAAATTTTAGGATTATGTAAGCCAATGCTTAAGGCATAAGAATCTCGAGTTTTTCCAAAGTTGAGAGACAGTTGTTTTGGCTTAGACATTTAGAACTGGTTTTTTTTCACCACCTTTGTCAATGTGTAGGTCATGTTTTTCTATTTCCCCGGGTGTGCGACAATTCCTTTGTATTAAATCTTTGTCGCGCGCTAATGAATCATTTCGTTTTTATATGGAGTGTATAACGTCAGAATGCGGCGCCTTTTTCTGTCATTGGATAGGACTAAATATATATACTGTCAATGTTGGATAGGACTAATATCACAGGATTTAGGCCTCGCACTTAGATAAAACACAAAAATAACCACAAGCCAATTGATTGGTATGTAACACGGCGAACGTATTAACATGTTAGGTAAGGCCCGCGTTCTTGATTTATTTGGCGATATCATGAGTCAATACGACTCTAATTTCGTCGGAATTGACGCTAACCGGAAGTCAATGGAGACACGTGACAAATGGCGACGGCATAAGTATGTACTGTAATGACCGATGCTGTATTTTGCATGTTGCCATTTTGATCACGTTATCGATGTTTGGAGGGGTAATGACGGTTCTCTGTATCGAGTTCATGTGTGAAATATTCACGCATCTCATCGAATATGGCTTCGAACAGGTGTCAAATGTGTTCGTCATCGCATTATAATTAGGGTGTTTAATGGACAAATGAAATCTGTGCAAACAATATTTACAGAATAACCACTGTAGCTTTGCATTAACGTATATGTTGTCTTAATTATTTTCCTAGACACGAAATAATCTGATTTTACGAGGCATAACATATTGTTGTGTCCATGGGGGATGACCGAATAGACTAGGCAATATTTTGTGTGACAAGTTCATGACTGGAGAGGGTTCATGAATCTGGACTGTAACACTTCCCGACAGATGTACACATAAGTGTGTCAGTAAGAATGACATCTCTCCAACATCACTGGTCTCCATCTTCACCATCGGCTACTGCTGTGAGCTGCACGTCTGCCTTGTCATATGCTGATAAGTGATGTAGGTAATATGGTCTGTATACATGTACAATTTACCGACAAGACGTGTACATTTTGTATTCTGACTACATCCATCTGTGCTGAGGGTTCAGAACGTGAGCACTCTCTTTATCTACCTGTGCTGTTGTAAGTAGTATCGAAACAGAAAAGATAAGGCGGTTAAACAGACTATCACAAATTATAATTATGATTAGCCTTGTCTGGGAATATATCTTTATGTAGACTGTAACTTTCTTTACGCTATTGTCGTAGTGTTACACCTATACATCAACTGGCGACCCATTCAGATGCTGTACCTTACTCGTTATTGGTCACCGGTCAAATGGGTCCAGGATGTTGGACATTTTAAAAGTATTTTGATATATATATAAACTGATTAATTTTGTGCCAAACAAGTTGTATCAACTTAAATAAATTACTCGTAGTCGGTCAAGTGACCAATTACTGGTAACGCCTTTCCAGGGAATCGAACCCCGGATGCCCAGGCGGAAGGCAAATACGTTGCCACTGTGCTAACCATCACAATTCGATAGACGTTCTTTTTTTAAAATCGTTATACGCGCAGTATAAACAACGGAATATGCCCGAACAAACGTATGACTAGATAACGACTGACTGGTAGTGTTCAATTGCTACTTAGTGCTTCAAAAAGTCAACCTTATTTATAGTTTCAACGGAAGGGAATTAATGCGCGTCCGGATCAGCATCCGGTCTAGCAATAATTACCATACCTAGCAACATTTTGTATCGATTTATCACAAGAACATAAGTACACAGACCAACATATACAGGTGAAAATACAGATGAGAGATGACGGACTGACCTACAGATACAGGTGAGAAATGATGGACTGACCTACAGATACAGGTGAGAGATGACGAACTGACCTACAGATACAGGTTAGAGATGACGGACTGACCTATAGATACTGGTAAGAGATGAGGGACTGACCTACAGATACAGGTTAGAGATGACTGACTGGCTTACATATAAAGGTTAGAGATGAGGGACTGATCTACAGAAATAGGTTAGAGATGACTGACTGACCTACAGATACAGGTGAGAGATGACGGACTGACCTACAGATACAGGTGAGAGATGAGGGACTGACCTACAGATACAGGTGAGAGTAACGGACTGACCTACAGATACAGGTGAGAGATGACGGACTGACCTACAGATACAGGTGAGAGATGGCGGACTGACTCACAGATATAGGTGAGAGATGGCGGACTGACCTATAGATACAGGTGAGAGATGAGGGACTGACCTACAGATACAGGTCAGAGATGAGGGACTGACCTACAGATACAGGTGAGAGATGAGGGACTGACCTACAGATACAGGTGAGAGATGAGGGACTGACCTACAGATACAGGTGAGAGATGAGGGACTGACCTACAGATACAGGTGAGAGATGAGGGACTGACCTACAGATACAGGTGAGAGATGACGGACTGACCTACAGATACAGGTGAGAGATGTGGGACTGACCTACAGATACAGGTGAGAGATGTGGGACTGACCTACAGATACAGGTGAGAGATGTGGGACTGACCTACAGATACAGGTGAGAGATGACGGACTGACCTACAGATACAGGTGAGAGATGTGGGACTGACCTACAGATACAGGTGAGAGATGAGGAACTGACTCACAGATACAAGTCAGACATGTTAGACTAGTGTCTATGGCGAATTAGCAGTAGACTGTGGATGATCTACAGAAACACGAGGTCAGGAGATGATATAAAATAAAGTCTTCCAGACAAACACCAGTTGTGAATACCACAAAGGTTGGAGAGTTCGGGAGTATTTATACATACATCTCTTTGTGTGGATGCCAAATCCCGAATCAGATTTTCCGTTCCGTAATGGAAACTAGTGTTATCACGGGATATAAAATCTGCCTGTGTACGTAAAACACTTTTTAATACAAGATGTTTTTTTATGTAGCATGACGGGAAAAAATACCTGGCAACGAATCTGTCTGGTTTTCTAAAGTGTTATAACTAACGGTTTTAGACCGTTCCATTTACTTTGGTTTATTCATATTGAATATTGAATATATCATAACGAGAATGGTTTGATTTCCGACGGCCAAATGAATACCGCAATCTTGCCGGTAATGATATTGTGTAAGTTGATGTGTATTCTGCGTGGCACCGCCCCATCACAATTGTATTTTACAGCAAACGACCTATACTTTATTCGCTAATTCATGTAATAAACACATTCGCCTCCCACTTATAATATGGTTTCCAAGGACAACAATACCATTAAACTCTAGCTATCACCCGTCCATATAGATTACGTCTGATTTATATTTATCCTTGCAAACATTCATATTGTATTTTGTATTCAATTTTAAACATTTTGACATAAGTCTTAACAAGACAAACATGGTGCATGAGAGGGCGCGTAGTACCTGCCTTTTATGGTCTAAATCACCACAACTCAAACAACATCAAGAAAATACCAACATGGCAACATCATCATAATTCAGACTCAAGTTCCATAAAACTAAGGCAAAATATGGCCAAAAGAAAGATTTACAAGGAGACTCCTGGAAAGGTACAAGGAGTTCCAGGAGTTCCGGAAGAATGAGCGTCTTCTGCTTCAACGACGACATCTGCTATGTAAACCTGGCCAATCCAAGTAAGTTATAATACGTTCTCATATGAGAACAGTGTATACAACAACGGAACTAACGAACAACCTAACGAGCATCAAATACGTCTAGCTTCATGAAAACAGAAACAGAATATTTCTCTTTTGAACCCTTGTGTTACAGTTTGTCAGTCAGTTGTTTTCTTGCACAAAAATAGTAATGGGAACAGACCCATTGAATTGAGACATGTAAATACTATAGGTTGGAGAAGCAGGGTTAATTCTATCCAGAAATGGAAAATTCACAATAGAGAAATTGAAATCATCACGTTTATCAAAGTAATTCTAGGCCTTTTCAATGCAGTAAAGTGCATTTACATGTATTCGATTTACAAAATTGTATTGCCTGATTGTGTAGGCATAGGCAACTAAAATAATACAGTATAAACTAAAAATGCTTCCATATTATAAAGAACAATTTTCACTAAGGAAATGTCCCTAAATGGTGTCGTTTAATTAACCTTACCTGTCTCCAAAGAAAATCCGGGAAGTTGTTGGCGATGAAAGCGGAAACGGCCATGTGACACACCGGAAGTATAATCCCACTTATGATTGCTACATACGTCATTAGCGGCATGAGAGAATATAACATAAACACAACAAACATCACCTCCCATACACCATCCATAGGTCCCAACAGAGGGCGCTCACGCCCAGGAACATCCGGGTCCAGTTGTAACGGAAATGCCATCACAGCAAAACACAATAGGAATACCAACAATAGATAACAGACTATCTTGAAATAACACTCATTCATGAACTTCGTATGAAGGAATATAAATATTGCTATAAATAACACACACTGAACAGCCAGATAGATCCCGCGTACACTTAAACCCGACAAGTACACGAACTTGAGGACAGAGAGGGTACCTGTCAGTATAATGAGGACGCCTAGCATATATCGTATGGCAGATTGTTGAAGTGTAAACACGTAACGTTTGTACAATCTTTCCAAGTCATCATTATCAAACTTGTGACGATTGAAGACCTTTTGGAGATTCGACCTTGCCCGATGTGTCAACATCGGTGTCGTCTCCATGTTGATCCGGTCTCCTTCTTCCATATTGTTAAGCATCCTGTAGAAGTTCCGGTCCTTTGTTAGATAGCAATATTCCTTCTCCCTGGTCTGAACCCTCCATCACTGACCAAACATTTACCTGTAAAGACAAAAATGCTCAGATCAGATGAACCCCCAGATACGTTGGAAAATAAATCCCGGTTACATCAATAGTGAATTAAATGTCATCACCTGACTTACACATGCTGCAGATGGATGAATTGCTGCTGAGATCTTCAGCCGCTGTCACAGAGTATAAACCACGATGAGATTGAACTATAACTGCTGTGAGTACTTACTGGTGTGACGAGAACTCTGTCACACAGAGTACTGACTGGTGTGACGAGAACTCTAACCGCTGTCACACAGAGTACTGACTGGTGACGAGAACTCTGTCACACAGAGTACTGACTGGTGTGACGAAAACTTTAACCGCTGTCACACAGAGTACTGACTGGTGTGACGAGAACTCTGTCACACAGAGTACTAACTATGTGGCGAGAACTCAAACCGCTGTCAAACAGAGTAAACTGATATAAAGAGAACTCTAACCGTTGCCACACAGTGCTGACTGGTGTGACGAGAACTCTGTCACACAGAATACTGACTGGTATGACAAGAAGTCTGTCTAACACAGAGTACTGACTGATGTGACGAGAACTCGTACCACTGTTACACTGAGTACTAACTGCTGTGACGAGAACTCTGTCACATAGAGTACTGACTGGTGTGACGAGAACTCTAACCGCTGTAACACTTAGCACTAACTGATGTGACGAGAGCTTTAACCGCTGTTACACTGAGTACTAACGGATGTGGCGAGAACTCTAACCGCTGTTACAATGAGTACTAACTGATGCTACGAGAACTCTAACCGCTGTCACACAGAGCACTAACTTGTATGACGACAACTCTAACCGCTGTCACACAGAGTACTAACTGATGTGAAGAGAACTCTAACCGCTGTCACACAGAGTACTTACTGGTGTGACGAGAACTCTAACCGCTGTCACAGAGAGCACTAACTGATGTGACGAGAACTCTAAACGCTGTAACACAGAGTACTATCCGGTATGACGACAACTCTAACTGCTGTTACACAGAGTACTGACTGGTATGACGAGAACTCTAACCACTATTACACAGAGTACTGACTGGTATGACGAGAACTCTAACCGCTGTTACACAGATTACTAACTAATGTGACGAGAACTCTAACCGCTGTCACACAGAGTACTGACTGGTATGACGAGAACTCTAACCGCTGTTACACAGAGTGCTGACTGGTGTGACGAGAACTCTGTCACACAGACAGAGTACTGACTGGTATGACAAGAACTCTGTCACACAGAGTACTGACTGATGTGACGAGAACTCTAACCGCTGTCACACAGAGTACTGATTGGTATGACGAGAACTCTAACCGCTGTCACACAGAGTACTGACCGGTATGACGAGAACTCTTACCGCTGTCACACAGAGTACTAACTAATGTGTCGAGACCTCTAACAACTGTCACACAGAGCACTAACTGATGAGACGAGAACTCTAACCGCTGTCACACAGAGTACTTACTGGTATGATGAGAACTCTAACCGCTGTTACACAGAGTACTAACTGATGTGACGAGAATCTAACCGCTGTCACACAGAGTACTAACTGATGCTGTAAACACTTAATCAGTATTTGTACTAGACGACTATTGCAATACATTGATAAGGTTGGGACATGCAACCTCTTGTCGTTTTCATGACTAGATATAACTGTATGAAAGAAAAAGGTAGTAGTTCACTGTTGCAAATCGTCATAAATAATAATGTGTGCACCTGTCTTCGCTTATACTCAACAATTGTATACAAACATAGGTAACGTATCTGTCTTTACATCTACGTTTATATATATGTATATATATATATATGTAATATCCGGTCTCCATTACGTCTTACACTAAGCCCTGAGAAACAACAACAGAATCATACGTATATAAAAGTAATAACTGCCTTAGAATTTACTGTTTGAGAGTATGTTTTCTCCTGAGATTTGGGACGTACAGGGGATGAGGTTATAGGAACAAAGCTATGGACCCTGGTACAAACATATTAAAATTGTACGCAAAAATATTTCATACATGTCTCTTATCAGTGTACATATCTTCATTCAACACTACTGAACGCCACGGCAGCACCGAATAACAAATTATCTAATTTGAAACGTTTCATGCAGGCAGTATTTGACGGGAGATCTCCGCCGTGAGATACGGGGTCTGTAACGCAGGCACGGATTTCTAACTATTATCAAGTGGAACTACGCTATCTAGTCAATACACACAAAACCACTCAGTATACTCAACAAATATATTCCGCAAAGAAAATTGTTTTGATGAGCCCGTCAAACAAAACATATTACCAGCTACTCTATTTTATGGACAATGTTATAAGACCTTGGCTGTGTGCATATAGAATAAACAGCCATTAATTTCTGTTTGATAGAAAACATAGCCCTTAGTGATTAAAGCTTTGTTATTGTCATGTCGGAACACTACAAACATAACCCGAGTTCTGTCATACACAAGTGTATACTAAATTCATGGAAAGGATCAGAAATAATTAACCGTGATCTGACCAGCAATTTGGAGTTGCTGGGGGTCTTTTTTATTTGCTAATTTAAACGATTTTTACATATTTCAACGGCGACTTAGAAGACAGCTTTGGGACATAAAAGGGGAGACAATTTTGATACATATCTTAAGTTCCCTCAATCTGTCCAAAGCAGAATGAAGGTAAATGATTTTTCGTTAGGGTTTATATATTTCCTTGTCAGTTCTTAACTGATATAAAACATAAAAATTAATAAGCTTTGTATCTTGTTCACACTGCATTCAGTGTCCCAAGTATACATTGATCGATGTCAACGGCATTACGATCAAACTTGTACTAAGGGATCATATACACTTCCGGTTTAAAGAGCTCCGCTGAGAAAAAACATTGACACCATTTCCGGTAACGTGCGATCGTTTCGGGCTGCTGTAAGACTAAAACAATCAGAATTGTTTGTTAGGTACTCGACAATGGCGATTCTCAAGTCGTGGTTGCCCGGGGAGTTACTCGACATTACTCCAAATCTCCTACACCATAAGAGGCCGCCGGTTTATTGTCTGACGTAAATGTGCCGAGTGCAACCTCTCATTTCCAAAGCACTTTTTCTTTGGTGCTCGTTTCGTCCTGGAATGAGGGCGGAACGAAAGTTTCTACAATAGATCTTGCTTATTATAACTTAAAACTTGATGACAACAACGTGTACTTAAAGATTCGATATCAATTATCCAATTTAGATTTTCCAATCACAGTCGTATAGTGAATAAATAGTTATCATAAATGACAGAAACTCCAGTTCCATTCCATCATTTGGTTGACCTAGTTTTCAAAAATGGCGGTTTCGGTCAATGGAAAATGCGAATGTTTGCTGGATACGAAATGATGAATTGACGAAAGGATAAGCAAATACTGATTTAATTACCGTATGCATAGTAGAATAACGTTTTTTTATAAACATAACTTTTTGTAACTCTTTATCAGATTGTGCTGAGGCTTTGACCGCATCCTGTTAAAGAAAATCAGTATCTAACTATTTTTGCACGAAATAGTATGTGATTTTATCATACACTTTAAAAAGATATAATTCCTTTATTACGTTGAACAATTAAATTTATGCTAAAATGCTAAACATTGTAAAAAAATCTTAACTTTGAAAACTTGATAGTCGGCATTGGGATAAATGTAAATCGCTTTTTAAGAAGTTAAAGCTAATAAGACGCCTGTCATAAGTTTCTCGACGTGTAAACCTCTAACATTATTAGAGAAGTAATTCGCCAGTCGTGGGTGCTCGAGGAGTGGCCCGTTAGTCCATTACTTGTTATGCTAGGATATGGGGCAAACTTCCTCCATGTGAGTATTCATACATTTTATCTTTCAAGTGAAATTCATGGTACTTTACTGTGTCTACCATTTCATCGAGATCAGATGATGACTAATAGTACTGACAGGCGAGAAGATAGTGTACGGAGTATGGGGAGGGGGATACACGGGGATTGGGAGAAATGGAAGGATGTTTGGAGGGAGGCCACGGGGATTGGGAGAAAGGGAAGGATGTTTGGAGGGAGGCCACGGGGAACACTGAACGTAGGGCACAAACCTTCTTTGATGGATGCTAATCCCATCACATACAAAACTGCTTGTTTTTATATCATACACCATGAAATTGGTGTAGATCAACCATCTTCACTGATGTTTTATCAGTAAAACGATAAGCACAAATGAATTCAGTATATGAACATAGAAAAAGTGAGCTTAACGTGGACTCGAGACTTCAAAATATGTCCAACATTTAATACTACACGTATATGTTATAAATAGACACCTAATGCCCACCTCTGTCAACCATCTCTATTAATATCAACGTCCGATACAGACAACAGCCGTTATACTGTCGGACCACCCTCTACAGCAGTATTTTACTAGCTGGTTTCTTTAAAGAAGAGGAGAGTGTCCTATTTACTGTGACAGTTTGTATACTTAATCATTAACTAGGTCACTGCGATATATCACTCCAGTAGACACTGTATTGCAGCTTCCGGTTGATTAAATTTTCACAAAGACACATCACTTACTGGAGAAATAAAAAGTCAAGACTGATTGAGCATGTGCACACAAACCAACGACTGCAGGCTGGAAGTAGATTGAATCAAATTGTGGGTTTAATGGAGTGTTATGATTTAGTGGTACCTGGTGTTACCGACAGCTGGCGCTGCTTACCACACTGTGGTACACACATACAGCTTACAAAGTTTACCTGCCAAGTCAATGATACAGAAAATAGTGGTATTTGCTGTTTCGGGCGAAACGTTGTCATATTGGGCTTAAATACTAAAATAAATATTTTTTTCGGGACAATGTGATGACGATATTCCCGTTATATACACCCCATGTGGTAGAATGCTTAACAGGGTAATGGGCGACATTAACATTGCCATTGGTGTTAGTTTATCCATTGTACTATCTAGATTTACATTTAAACGGTACAGGAGACTCCTCGGTGTCAAAA